CTAAACTAACACTAAAATATGGGTGGTTTTCAGTACGCTATTTATATTAGACATAAATAACTTGTGTGTGTTCCTTATTCATTGACCTATAAACAAGGGCACATCTGGAGATAGGAATACAAACTGAAATGTCACTAAGAGTCATTCACTAGATTCAAAGTTTTAAAATGTGTGTCAGATACAACAATAACAGAAACTAAAAACACAGGATGGAAATTACAAATAGTAACCTGACCGAAGCAGAAGCAGGCACAAAACAGATTTTGTGTCATCACTACACAGTCAAGGCAACAAACAATCTGAGAAATTCATACCCTGGTTTCAAAACCAAAAACATCCAATGTAGAAGAAAAAATGAACCAGCAACAGAAACTCAAACTCTATTAGAAAAAACTTTATTCTCCCCTTTGTGTCACAAGCTTATATACTGATGTAAGACAAAAGAAATGGAAAATATTCACAAAAATATGCAGTTAAAGAAAGTAACAATCAGAAAAACTTTATGACTTTGGTGTTGGTACTAAAAATACTTGAACATGCTGCAAACGTGACCCTCAGATGGGTGGTTTTCAGGCCCAGCTGTTCAGAAGCCTTAGGTACACTGTCAGCAAACTCTAGGGTGGAGGCAACAAACGGACCCGTGTGTGTGTGTGTGTGTGTGTGTTCACGCTGGGAAGAAAATGCGCATCCACACTGACTATGCTGTCACGAGCAATTTTAAACTGTTCTACTACTTCCCCCCCAAAGAAAGAAAGGGCAAAGTTAGGCTATCTACCCCAAAACTCTGGGTTGGTAAAACCCAAAATATTACTTTTAAAGTTTCGATTTAATATTCTCTAAAATGTGTCTGATTTCAATTTTCGAATCTTGTGTGTACATGCCCACCATGCACACAAATCAACGCTGCCTTGAAGAATCTGAAGCTTTCAATGCATAATGTAAACTCACTGCTATCTAACAAAAAGATTTAAAAACCACTGTTGAGAATCCTAGAAACTGACTAGGGTTAAAATAATTTGAAAGCAGAAATTTAGATCACATATCTGTAGAATTCATTTTATTTTTCAAGTTCAACTGAATGCTGTTTTCAATGTTTTTGAATGGTTTTTTTGAATGTTTTTTTCTTCCTTCATGTATGTATGTCCACCCCATGCATGCCTGGCACTCTTGTATGTCAGAGGAGAGTGTTGGATTACCTGGAACTGGAGTTAGCAACATTTATGAGCCACCATGTGGGGGTTGGGAATCAACCTGGGGTCCTCTGAAAGAATAGCAAATGCTCTTAACTGCTGAGCCATCTCTCCAGGCCAAATGATGTTTTTAAATTGAAATTTATTTATGTAAACAGTAGCATTGATTATCAACCATGACTGAGAGATCTGAGTTACAGTTCTGAATTTTGAGAGGCTAGCTTTGAGTTTCTCACTGAGACCAATGCTAACGCAGGAGTTTTTCCTCTATAGAATACCCCCATTAGTGCATGTTCATAAGTTAAGGATACTCATGGACTCGCACACAACTTTTCACAAAGTCCAGCTGGAGTTTGATGTTTATGCCAGTTCACAGTAGACATGCTGTGGTGGTTTGGACAAGATGTCCCCATCCTCTTGGGCATTTGAATACTTGATCCCCAATTTGAGATGCTGTTTAGGGAAGCTTAAGAGGACGCATGCCCCTGGAGGCAGTGGCCCGTTTGACTTTGCTCTCTATTTCATGCCTGCAGTAACTTGGAATTGTGAGTTAAAAATAGATCCCACTCCTCCAAGAGAAGTAGAGAATGTAATTTCTTAGCTTCCTGCTCCAGCTGCCCACCTCTGCTCTGCCATCATGGACTCTTGTCCTCGTCCTTCTGGAAATGTACACAGAAATAAAACCTTTCTTCTATAAGTTGCTTTGGTCTACTTTTCTAGCAGTAGAAAAGTAACTAATATGACTCTAACTCTCAGGTTTTGATGTGCCTGCATTTCTATGCATGTCTGTTTGCCTGCCACTGGTTGGGATAAATGAGAATCTGTTTTGCTTTGTTTTGTCTAAAAGAAAAAAACTTGAGGAAAAGGCTGGTAACTACTCCTCATTGATAATTAAAAATAACAAGGAAGGGGGAAAACACTACATAATCTTTTAAAAACAAGAAACAAAAGCAGAAGAGGATGCTAGGAAAAGGGCCCTAAATTTGACCTGGTAATTTTGGGTGTCATTCAAGAGAACTTTGCCATGAGCAACATCTCTTAGTACATCTTAAAGCACAAGTGCAATGAGTGTCCATCCTCTGAAGTGTGTCCTTGCAGGTGAGTCTGACCATAATGTTTGTGTCACATGACCTTTAATCATCTCTTGTCTGGGCTCTTCCAACAAGCCTCCTCATTGGCCTTCACACAACTATCCTATTTCTCTTTCATTTACTTTTCACACAGCAAGGAAGAGCGACAAACACAAACTGAACAGGTCACTCTATCAAGTCTAGAGCAGAAAATAGAAGGGAACATAACTTTGCATGGGTTCTGACACAAATAATGAAGTCACCCTATCTGTGACTCTATACATACAATATGTAACATATATATAATACAATGTATATAATATATAACATATGTAACATTAGTAAGTCTTTGTAAGAGTTTATAAGAAACAAAGTAGCTGCTGAAGCAAGATTGTTCATATTATTTTATTCTCTATGACCTTAAACTTCAACAAGACTCCTTAGCTATGGACATGTAGCAGCAATCCTTTTAGGTATTTAAGGGATTTAGTGGCAGCTAAGTTTCCTGGATGGAAACAAACTGATATCTCAACTAAAGCCAAGCAGCCTCCAAATAAATGAGTTACTAGAAAAAGTTGTGACTGAGAAGCCACCCAAGAAGTAGTAAGGAATTCAGCTGGTGTTCCCTAGAAAATGTTGTAGCCAACTAATTTCAGTCAAATTAAACAAATGTTTGATATACGGGTTAGGATATGCAAAACAAAAAGAAAACAAAACTAAAAAACCAAACATGACTTCAGAAGTCAATTGAGAGATGGGTTTCTCAAGACTGTCACTGGGAAGTGACATCAGTAAGTGCCTAAGGAACCTGTCTCTAATTTGGAATAGAGATTTTAAGTCTACAAGGTGCTGACTCTGTGAGATCACTGAGAACATCTTTTTGTTGTTTGTTTATTTTGTTTTTCAAGACAGGGTTTCTCTGTGTAGCTATGGATGTCCTGGACTCGCTTTGTAGATCACGCTGGCCTTGAACTCAAAGAGATCCGTCTGCTTCTGCCTCCCTGAGTGCTGGGATTACAGGCGAGTGCCACTGTACCCAGCTCACTGAGAGCATCTTACCTAGAACCAGTATCAATTCTTTAAGAACATCAAGTTTCTACGGGAAGAACAACTGCAACCCATGAGTTGAATACCTAACGTAAAATGAAACACCTCCTTTCATAATAAAAAAGGAGACATTTATTTTCCAGGAACTTAATAGTGGGGGAAAAAACTGGGGAACTATGAATCAAAATAAGAATTTAAAACCAAGAAACTTCAGACAAGTAAGAAGCAAAATCAACTGTTGATTTCTTACCTTCTCACTTGTCAACCTGAGACACCGACGCATGTGCCAAAAGAATAATAATTCTCTCTCCATCCCCCGTGAGACGGTGGGAGAGTGCAAATGCATGTTCATAATCTCGGGTGGGGGTGGCACTGCGCACCTCCCGTGCTGTGCCTGCGGACACCCCCCAGAGCCCATGGAGGTAAGGCAACCATGCAGGTGATCAGCCTAGCACACCGCACAAGCAGGCTGGCCTCGAAAACTGTGATTCGCCTGTTTCAGTTTCCAGAGTGCTGGATTACAGCGTAAGCTTCCACACCCAACCAGAAGCCAGTTTTAATTGAGCGCTACCTAGCAACTTTCCTATGACATAACTCCATCATAATTTTCCTAGCTCCGTCAAAACATTAGCTCTTTACTTACACTTCTATTCCTTTTAGCCACATTATTTTATTCAAATAAGCTAAACCTTTCTCATCCAGTGAGTTTGTTAGCTTCACATCTTGTCCATGGTATGTAAACTGGAGTAAAATAGATTCCCTTCTAAGTAGGCCCAGCTCTTTCCTCCTTGTGAAGGTTCTAAATGAAGCTTTTAGGGAGACAGTGTTCAGCCTGGTTACCCCAGCTAAAGAGCGACAGCTTGCCTTACCCTCAGCAATTTCCAGAGCTTACCACTCTCATACCTAGGAGGTCTTGATATTTTTCTCATTTAAATGGCCTGCAAAGCTAATTTTCAAATTTAAATGGCCAAATTAGAATATTTACTGTTGAACATAAGAATAATCATCTATTTTCTAATGTAAATAATTGTTCTGATAGTTCTTTCAATGACACGGCCTCTGGGCTGTCCTCTTCACAGTGCCTCTAATAACAGAGATGAAAGACAAGCCACAGCAGTCAAAGCATGTGACAAATTTCATACAGGTATTGTATTTTTTATTAGAGATTCAAACACATTTTGGATTCTATTCTATTTACTATCCTTGCTTTGAGTTCCACCTTCCCTTCAGATGCTAAACATTAACAATGAGAAAAGACTTTATTATGTTCTGTCTCAGCACTTCTCAGGGAACAATCAGTGATATGAGAGCCAAGAGTTTGTAAACAACAAAGTGGCCTTTAATACAGAATTGTGAAATTGTAACTTGTAGATAATAAACCTTTTAGTCGATACAGTTTACCTCAATGTTTCACAGATTTCTGTTAAAATTAAGACAGTTTGTGTTCTAATCTCACAGAAATGAAAAATCAGTATTTCCTCTACCAAGGAAAAGAAAGTACATGGAGTTTATATCAGTTAATACAGTCAATTTTCAGAATGCAGACCCAGATCCTGCAGCTTTCTTGTGCATTATTCGAAGTTCAATCTTTCTGTTCTACTCTTCCAACATGAGATTATAGGCATCTGAATCATTTCCTTCTTGCTGTCAGAAATGACAAAATGTGAGAGCTATAGCATAAAATGAAAGTTACCTTGTTTATCTATAACTGAGTATGAAGCCAAAAATCCTCGTCCAGAAGCATGGATTCCACTCATGAACAGCACTGTGACTTCACTGCCTTTGGACTCAATTGACCGATTCATTTGTAAACCCAGCCCACAGTATTTGCCTAGGAATGAAGGAAACACATATATTAGGTGTGACTTTCATAAAGTCAACATTTGTAATGTACATAACAACATCATACAACAAGCCAGGCACTAAATTAAAAAGAAATTGGTAAAATGGGTTTAAAATGCCAAATAATAACTATTTAAATGATTAAAAACAAAAATCCACTACAGATTTTCACTGAACTCACAGATATTCAATTTCTATCAAACACACATATGCTCCTCAAAACAATAATGAAATAGTTTTAGAAACACGCATTGCAGACAGGGTGGTGGCCACGAATAAGTAATTGGTCAGCGGTATTCTCACAGGGTCCCTTCAAGACCTCCTAGACTCTTTGCCTTAGCGCATTCCAGAAAATCTCCTCCAACTGGACCTATTCAGTTTCATTTCTGAGGATTATCAATCAGGTCTTTCTTGACACTTCAGTGATCATGTGGACTTACATGGCCTCAGCTATGATCTAGACTCAGACACTTAAATTTCCAGCCACAGCCTTGGCCTCAAAACTCAAATGTGTATATTCAATGTAAAACATTGTAATGTAAAACAATATCCTTAGAAAAACATAGCCTTAGGAAAAAAAATCTAAGCAAAGTAAGACAGAAGAGGAAAAGAAATCAATGATGCAAACTAGCCACCAATAAGTAAAAAAAAAAAAAAAAAAAAAAAAAAAAAAAAAAAAAAAA